TGACCCAGAAGCCGTCATCAATGATTTCAACCTCAATATCGCCCAGGGTGGAGTAGAGAACCTCAGTTATTTCCCTTTTACCCGGACATTGACGCTTGGTTTTAATTATAAATTTTAATGCAATCACATATGAAACAAATCAAATTTTTCATAGTAGTGCTCGGCTGTTTACTGTCAGCCATCTCCTGCACCAAACTTGACGAGAAATTGTACTCGACGCTCGATGCTTCCGAATTTTATAAAACAGAGAGGGAATGCATCCTTGCCATGGGCAACGCCTATGCGCAAATGCAATATCGTGGTACCAGTCTCTGGGGCTTGCTGGGTACTGAAATGCTCGCTTCTGACGAAGCTTGCTGCCCGGTCAGAACCCAGGGTACTTACTTAAATAATAATGGCCTTTGGGTACGTTTGAATCAACACAATTTTGTTCCGACCATGGATCCTGTCGCTTCTTCTTGGGAGTTTTGCTTCAATACGATCTCTGCCTGTAACCAGGTGATCTATCAAATTGGTCAATCACCGGCGGAGTTTGCGAAGAAACCCAATATGATCGCGGAACTAAGGGCATTACGTGCTTTTGCCTATTATAAAGCAATGGATCTGTACGGAAACATTCCGGTAACACTGGATTTTACAGATGTATCACTGCCGCAACAAAAAACAAGAGCACAGGTGTTTGCTATTGTAGAACAGGAATTACTCGATAATCTATCGCTGCTTGAAGAAAGGCCGTCCGCTGACTACTACGGCCGCGCTACACGCCCGATGGCCTGGGCAATACTGGCTAAAATGTATCTCAATGCAGAGAAATGGATTGGTACAGCGCGCTATTCCGATGCCATCACGATGTGTAATAATATAATCCAGCAGAACAGTTATTCGCTCGAACCTGACTATTTCAAAAACTTCCTGATCGATAATGTAAGTTCCAAAGAAAATATCTGGGTATTGCCGTACGATCGTAAAGTAGGTTGGGGTTTGCAAATGCATCAATATACACTTCATCCTGCGCAGGCAGGCGTATACAACGTATCAGCCCCTATTTGGAACGGTATGGTGGCGAAGCCGGATTTCTTTGCTTTGTACAGCAGTAACGACAAGCGTATCAACTCCTGGATGATCGGGCAACAATACGATGCCAACGGACAGCCCCTCAGAACTTCTTCAGGAGCTCCACTGGTATTCACTGCATCGATCAATGGATTCCAGACAGCAGGTGAATTGGACGGTGTGCGTTGCAAAAAATGGCAATTTCCCAGCGGTTTGCAAACGAACCAGACGA